ATAAATTACAATGGCAGCTCTAGGACAAAGTATGAAAGAGGAGAAGCATGGCAAAGTTGAGATGACTTGGATGGGAAACGAATCACAATAGTGTGCATTGCATTGGCAATGCACACTGATTAATAAAATAATATTAATAATTCTTCAAATGACTGGTTGTTTTTCAGCACAGAGTATTATAATTATTGTTCTAGTGAGAAACTTGTTTATTCTGACACAACTTGAACGTTGCTCGGGTCGTGTCGGACAGGAAGCAGCTTGACCAAAACGTATGAAAATAAACACACATTCTCATCACGGCGCTGACAAACATGTACATATATTATCAGTTCTGTTTGTTATGATATTGAACCGATAAGTATGACGTCATAATTGCCTGATATCGGGCCGATAACTATCGTGCGCTCCTGGTAAACATCTGACTGAAACTGTTCTCCATGTTTAAATGTGTCGGAGACCACGTTCTAACAAAATCCTTTAGTTTGTTCCCAATATTATTATTTTTAAACTTAAGGAACCTCTTAATGAAATCCACAGTGATGACATGTTGTATTTGTTTTACTAATTTATATTGAACATAAGAGAAGCCAACAGAGACATCACAAATATACAGTTTTCATACACTCAAAGTGGGCAGAAGTATATTTATATTAGCCCACCTCTTCTCCTGCAGCCTTATTCCATCACTTCTTATTCCTCAAGTAAATTATTAAATGAATCGTCCAACAACACTGTCACCTGCAATTCTTTTTAATTTAAAACCTTTTAATTTGTGACAGTTCTCCTTCAGGAGTAAACAGTTTAATTTAAAAGTTTGTCCTTAAAACCTGTTGTTTATGAAGAGTAAAAATAGTAATGATGTATTTTACAACACAGCTGAATCATTTTCATTATTTCAGAGCAGATTGAATGGTGATGAATGGATCCAGTAAGGATGTGTGGTGATGGTGTGATGTGGTTCTTATTGTTGGTGTAATGTTGTTATCCATGCTACACTCACTCTTCCTTATCTTCATTGATAAGATTCTTGAAATAAGAAAAAATTGAGTCAAATCAAGTATTTCTATCAGCTTGATTCCTGCTGGACTTTTCTATTAGGCTCTATAGCGCCTCTAGTGTTCAGACATGGAACTGCATCCAATTAGGCTCTATAGCGCCTCTAGTGTTCAGACATGGAACTGCATCCTATTAGGCTCTATAGCGCCTCTAGTGTTCAGACATGGAACTGCATCCTATTAGGCTCTATAGCGCCTCTAGTGTTCAGACATGGAACTGCATCCTATTAGGCTCTATAGCGCCTCTAGTGTTTAGACATGGAACTGCATCAAATTTTCAGACTAACAAGACAAATAATCTTACACATTCTGAAAACAAGATGATTATTCTTACACAATCAGTTCTTGTTTAGTAAATCAGTCTGAAAACAAGATCAAAAAGACTTTTTGGCTGATATAAGGTTTTAAAACTTGGTAAGACGGACAGTTTTTGCAGTGTAAGGCTGATTGTTGATTGTTTTTCCACCAATGGAAAAAAGAATAAAAATAGAGATTAGAGACCTGAAGGGAGCAGCTGATGATGTGTTTACAGTCTTCTGTTCAGTTTCACTTCATATAGATGATGTGTTGTAATGTGTGGATACACACTGGTAACAGTCCCTTCACTGTCTCTGTAGTCTAAACCAGGAAATGCCCATCTTTGTGTGCACCATGGCCTTCCCCACCATCCCCTGCCCGCTGCACGTCTTCGAGCCGCGCTACCGCCTCATGATCCGCCGCGCCATGGAAACAGGGACGAAGCAGTTTGGCATGTGCATAGCGGACGAGCTGAAAGGCTTCGCTGACTTTGGCTGCATGCTGCAGGTGAGTCCTGGACAAACTGTCCAGTTCAGGTTTCCACTGAGGTGTGTCCAGAGTCAGTCAGCTCATCACACACCTTGTGCTGCAGGTGAGAGACGTAAAGTTCTTCCCTGACGGGCGCTCTGTGGTGGACACCATCGGGGTGTCACGCTTCAAAGTCCTCAAGCATGGACAGAGAGACGGCTACCACACAGCTAAGATCGAGTACCTGGAGGACAGGAAGGTGAGCAGTGATGTGTGTGTGATTGTGTACAACAACGTGCTCCCAGCCGTCCCTCAGGTTCAAATGAAACTCTGTCTCTGCTCAGGTTGAAGGAGAGGAGCTGGCAGAGCTGCTGAAGCTGCACGACTCCGTTTATGAGCAGGCCAACAACTGGTTCACCTCACTCAAAGACAACATGAAGACTCAGATACTGGGACACTTTGGACATCTTCCCAGCAAAGATGCAGACCCACAGGTATAAAAACACAGTTTATGATAACCTTTATTTAGTACAAGTCATTGCAAACTGAAGGACAAGTCTTTGAAACACTCAGAATACAGCACAGGTGCAGGGAAACTTTGTGCATGTCCAAAAACAAAACATGAATGGTTTTATTTGTTCAGGACAGTGTGAAATTAAAACATAATTTGATGCATTGCACCAGATTTAACCTAAGACTAATTTACATCTTTAGTCCCATTGAACAGTAAAAACAAAACAACATCCAGCAGTAAAATAGAAATAAGAGGGAAAAAACAGAAAAATAAAATTATATGAAATAACACCCCACCCCACTCTCCAAACATAAAATCATGCCCACCTCCACCCCCCCCCCCCACCCCACACAGCCAGAAGCAACTACTCAGTGCAATTCAGTGATTGCAACACTGAGTATATTTAAGATATTTTTAAAGATTATTTTTAAAACTAATAAAAGAACCACAGTTTTTTTACATGATCAGGAGCAGCGTTCCACTGAGCGAAGGCTTTAACTGAAAAAGCTGCTGGACCAAAGGCTGAGAGCCGAGCAGAGACTTCACACTTCTGCCTGGAGGTTCTGGTTACGCACAAAGAAACAGCTATAACAACCATAATAAACTCATTTTTGCTAACAGATTGGTGCTGAACCATTTAAAATTTAAATACTGTTTCCATATTTGAAAAAAGTCTGTAATTCTCAAAAGAAAACAAGTTATATTTCTGCACAATCTGACAGTGATGGTGTCTTAAGGGGTTGCTGTCAAATATTTTGAGGGCCTGTTTGTAACAAGACGCTACAGGTTTTATTATTGGCAAACAAATACAAAATGAAATGTGTGAAAAATGAGTGCATGAATATCTTGGCCTCTTCCAATGACAAACAAGATCTAACATGTATAAAATGGACCAGGTTATGTCTAACAGTTTGTGTCATTTTTTAAGTATGTTTCTTGTAGCTGAGGTTGGAATCCAATAAAAACTCCAAGATACTTAAACTCAGTCACAGTATCAGTTTGTTTACTCTTGATATAAATGTTTAAATCTGAGGTGTCCAATTTAGTCTTAGAGAAAAACACACTTTTTGTTTACATTTAAAGTCAGACAGGATTGATTTAACCAATCTGCTCCCTCCAGAGCTTTGGTTAATTTCTCAGCTGCACGTTGAGTTGTTTTAGCATGTGTGTACAGAACAGTGTCGTCTGCATATAACTGGACTTCTACATCATGACAAAACTGTGGAAGGTCATTGACGTAAAGACTAAAAAGCAGGGGTCCAAGCACAGATCCTTGTGGTACACCTATTGAGCATTTTAGGAAACTGGACTGTAAATCTTTGATTTTAACACATTGCATTCTGTTGCATAGATGTGCCAACCAAGAAAAGGTTTTAGATGAGAAATTAAAGTTTGATAATTTGGAGAGGAGAACATTGTGATTAACTGTATCTAAAGCTTTATGTCAGTCTAAGAAAACAGCACCAACAACTGCACCTTTATCAAGTTGTATCTGTCCATCCATCCATCATCCATCCATCCATCCATCCATCCATCCATCCACCTTTATCAAGTTGTATCTGTCCATCCATCCATCATCCATCCATCCATCCATCCATCCATCCACCTTTATCAAGTTGTATCTGTCCATCCATCATCCATCCATCCATCCATCCATCCGCCCACCTTTATCAAGTTGTATCTGCTCTGTAAGGTGGATGATGGCTGTACTTGGACAATTGCTTTTGTTTAGCTAAGGGTTAGAAGTTTAATGGCATTGATACAAATACAACACACTGAGTTTTGACTCAGTTTCACACAGCAGTGAAGACTGAAATCAGAAAATTAAAATATAAATTTTTACTTTATTTTTGGGACTTGTTCCAGTGGATCAGAAGTATTGGATTTGTGTTTAAGATGTTGTCAGTGTGTCTTTGTTGTGCTCAGAGTCATGATGTTATCTTATAAAGCTGTGTTTGTGTAATGATCAGAAGCAAATGAAACCAAATATCAGGATGTTCTGCAGCAGATGAGTAGTTCTGACAAAGTCTGGTTCCTCTGCAGGCCAGTCCTGATGGTCCAGCCTGGTGCTGGTGGCTGCTCGCTGTCCTTCCCCTGGAGAACCGGGCCCAGCTCACCATCCTGTCCATGACCTCCTTCAAAGACCGCCTCATTGCAATTCGAAGGGTTCTCATCTTCGTCACACGCAAGAGACCCCGATGATGGTCCAGGAGAGCTGCTGTCATCTCTATGCAGTCCAGAGACTTGTCTCATTCTGACCGAGTGTTTCATCACTTCATCAGCTCTCTCTCCTTTCTGACATGTAGCCTTTCAGAGCTTCACCCCCCAAAAAACAACCCCCTCATTCCTGACTGTAGCCCCCCAACCACAGGCTTGGTTAAAACCACAACAGAACAGTTGTTTGACTTTAGTTTGGAGGGTTTTTCAGGTTTTAACTGTTTGCTAACAGAAGCAGAAGTGTTTGAGCTGGTTTTGTTTGTTTGAACCAGAAAGGGAACAGAAGTGAGTCCATCACACAGCTGTGAAGTTCACCACATCACAGCTCTGGAAGCAAACCATGCTGAACCATCTGCATGATAAAACCTAAAGGAATGTAGTGATGTGGTTGTGTGAGGACTTTCGTTTTGCCCCTGCCTTACTACATTCAGACACTTTGGAGGGTCCAGGTCCTGGTTCAGGTCCTGCTCCAGGTCCTGGCAGCACAGTCTCACTTTAAATCTTCCTGACGGAGCGGTGATGAAAGACGGTTTGATTCAGCTGGCAGGTGAAAAGCAGCGCCGCTCCACAGCAGGGTGTTCCTCTCTTTTTAAGAGATTTAAAACAGGAATTAGGATTAAAGCGTAAGCCAAATGATTGCACATGATTGGGTGAATGTTGAAGAAGAATCTGGAAGTTGTGTCCTGTTGTAGCACATCTCTGGGACAGAGTACTGATGTAGTTTTAGGGGTTTGCTTAATGCGAACGATGAAATCGTCATTTGGGTGATTTTTGTGAAAATCCATGAAACTCTGAGGCCTTTTTAATGTTTCATTCAACAAACAGCAGTGTCCATTTTCTCCCTTTCTGTTGTAAACATGAACAATATAATGCACATGTGCAGTGGACTTTCCTTGTATACAGTTAAATGTGTTCATTTGATCATTTTTTTTTTACATTTTCTGTGTATCTGATTTAAACCTGTTTGTTTTCTGTCACCGTTTTTTACAGGAAAAACCTTTTCACAGTAATAACTTCATAAATCAGCCCCGAGGTTTCAATTTAAGGATGTGAATTTTGCAGTTTTATTTTATTTTTATTTTATATTGTCAAAAAATACATAAAACAAGAGAAAAGAATTACATAATGGCGTGCAAGCTTTATTGCTTATTTAAAAAATATTTACACAAGGCACAGCAGCTGTGAATGTTCAGGAGTCCTTGACTAAAAAAAGCAGTTGTGAAATGGTTGATAAAGACAAAAACTGAATAAAAAATACAAACACTTTGGTTTTAAAAGCAGAGATGCTGATGACCTCACAGGAGCTGCCTAATCAGTTCAAATCAAAAATATTGATCTCAGAGGGAAATTAGACCAGGGCCTGTTTTTATCAAACTTCTTAGAGTGGATTTTTATACTTAAGTGCTGAAAATGTCTTAGATTTGCTCCTACTCTCAGACTTAAGTGTAAGTACCAGTTATTAAAGTTCTTCAGTCTAAGAATCACTCTGACTCTGAAGAAAAGTTCAGACTGATCCTTCAGTGGTTCAGAGTTCCCACTACAGGTCTGAGATGAACTGAAGACAGATTACAGCTGTCCTCCTCCCCACCTGACTGTTCTTCTGTTAGAAGATGGAAAACAGGTTTAATCTGAAATATACAAAAGATACAAAGGTAATCAATAAAAAACTGCATAAAGTTGGACTAAAAGGAGGATATCTGTGTGTGGCTTTTGGAGAAAATATTAAATATACTCAGCTGGTGAGTGCATGCACCCCCACCCAAAAAAAGAAAGAAAGAAAGATTAAAATTACGGTGGGATTGAACATTTCGTTTATTACGTCAACAATCACTTGATACAATGATGGAGCGTGCGGGATGTGGGGGTGCGCTCAGACCAAGCTGGTAATGACGGAGCGGATTGTGTGCACATTGTGTGTGTGTGTGTGTGTGTGTGTGTGTGTG